ATAGCCGCGAGTTGCCGTTAATTGTTTCCGTTAGAAAACTGCCCCCAGACGCGGGAAATTTGAAAAAGCGCGTTCCTAACAACACAAATTGCGCATTAAGGAGTGTATTTCAGACTTTTTTAATGTGACCATCGTAATTTTCGTGTCATTTAACCTCTAAAAAGTCTATTCGCACGGCTGTATCTCTTGCATGCAACAGGCCCATTGTTAGATCATTTTGTTCAAACTTACACCTATATTCCCTGAAAATTTCAAGGAAAGATATTCATAAATTTCATCAAAAATAAACATTTTATAGGAGAAAATTTGGCAACCCTTGAATGTTCATATGGCGCTTTCCCTTAACACGACAGTATGGTTTTAAGTTACCGAAGTGCGACGGGCCTGAAAACGTTCCGCGTGAGTTGTGGTATTCGGATAGTTTATACGACTCTCGTGACAAGTTTATGCTGTTCTAAATGTCTGGAAACAGCCTTCGCAAAAATCGACCTCCCCTTTTTCGTGGATATTGGAGCGGTTCAATAAAATATGGCTCAAATGAAAGCTTACACGGTGCGTTTTAAACAATTTTAATGCGGTCAACATACCACCCGCGATTTTTTTGCGGAAATGTCAACTAGAAGTCCTACTGATTGAGGAACAACAAACCGCGAAATCTGTGATGGGGCCGTTTTTGAGAAAACGCGATTTTTCGCTTTTTTCGCACGTTTCATAAACTACCCTGAGTCAGACTAATTTAGGCTGATATCAATCTGACTCAGGGTAGTTTATGAAACATACCCTGACGTCAGGTTGATTCTATTTTACTAGGGATGTCACGTAAACATTTCAAAAATTCACCTTCCTGCCTTTCAAAGCTGGCCGCCATCTTTGCATTTGGAGCAATCCCTTTGACTTGAGGGCTTTTATGACTTCATAAATGAAATCTACGACCAAAATTACATAAGAAATGATACCTCACTTGCCTTATCAAGCGAACTTTTTAAAAATCCACCCTCGTGACTTTCAAAATTGGCTGCCATCTTGGATTTGGGGTACCCCCTTTTGATCAAGGGACTTTTTTTACTTCATATTTGAAATCTACGACCTAAATTACATAGGAATTGACACCTCACATGACACTGTATGCGTATTTTTAAAAAAATCGAACTCCCAGAGGCCTTATTATGGCCGCCATTTTGAAATTTAGGCAATTTGGGGGGGTGTTCCGGGAGCGAACCGTGGTAAACTTTTGGTATGTTGTTCAATAGGACCTACTGAAGAAGTTTACGTAGGAAAAGTTTGTTAAGCAATTTGTTCCGGGTTAACCCTCTTTTTTTCGGATTTCTCCTTGACTAACCCCCCAAAAACCCAAAAGTCGTGGATTTAAGGATATGAATTTTGGGCAATATGCACGAATAGCTATCTACTGGCACTTGATTGACTCAAAATGTATAGGATATGCATTTACGAACTACAAAAACAGCCTAACTTGACTTTTTCAGCGCCTTGACCCGAAATTCCCGCCAAAAAAGCGAAAAATCGCATTTTCTCAAAAACGGCCCCATCACAGATTTCGCGGTTTGTTGTTCCTCAATCAGTAGGACTTCTAGTTGACATTTCCGCAAAAAAATCGCGGGTGGTATGTTGACCGCATTAAAATTGTTTAAAACGCACCGTGCTTACGGTGAGGGCAACTGTAAGTTTTGCAGAGAAAGAGCTCCCACAAAAGGTATCTCTTTTTTTGGATACTGCAGCATGTAGGATTGTACAAAATTTGGCTGACATTAAGGGTAATGGCGAGGCGAATGCAAAAAATTGACTCTAGGCAGGATTTTGTTCAAACTATCGAGCATTTCCATAGAGTTTTGTTTTCAAAGGGTCAGTTGCGCTATTCACAGACTCGTGTTTTAATATGCTTGATTTTTGTGGATTAGCTAACGATGAAAAGATCTGTCCAAACAGCAACTATTGCTACGTTCGATAGTAACCAAAATATCGCGGTTTTAAAAAATCGGTTTATCCGTGACTTTATCCACCGCGGTAGTGGCAACCATGTTTTCTTTCACCTTGCTCTCATCAGCCAGGGAAACACACATTTGCACTGGTAACTCAACGTGTAACTCGGATGAAAGCAAGGTTGTACAGTAAATTTTTGATTAGGCGATCAAATAACACTCAAACAGGCTTATAAAATGGATGAAGAGTCGTTTTCCTAAACATAAGGGAAAACAAACCTCAAACGCCGCGCCGATTCATATGAGATTCTTGATACAACTATTCGTGCTTAACGGATGTGCTTATTGCATACTTAAAAAAAAGGCATTTTAGCTTTCGTCGCCCAAGCGTCGCGATCAATCTTCTTGACCGCCGCGGTGTCTTCTCCTCCATAAGTTATTGGACGCTAAAATGTTTGCAGATCACTCTTCCACATTCTAATATTATTAAATCACTTTTCAGTTTTTAGTGGCTAAAGTCTTTTTCTCATTAAAGGTAGGCATTCCCTTCAGAGTATAGGTATTCTTATTAAACTACAAGCATAATTTTAAGAGGGCATCTCAAAAACTATTTGGTCAAGAGAAGTATGTTGCGCACAAATTTTCATATTCTGATGATATTCGCCCGAAATTCTTGCATGTTTGTCAAAACGTCTCATTGAGACTCCATACGCGCTTGAAATCCTAACAAATAGAGCACTACAAACTTAATTCCTAATTCGTCGTCACTCCCACAAAAGAACGTAACTACATATCAATGTTGCCAAATTTCCCCTCGTTAATTTCAATTTTTGGTGTAAAATATTGGGTATTTCTGACTGAAAATCTCACTCATTTTTCATGAGATCTCACGGAAATATCAGAGTAATTTTAGAAGAAAACTGCACAGGTACTTTCTTGTAAAAAAAAACGAATCGTTGGAGTCAATTTTGCAACCTTGAAATGGAGTTACGTTCCTTCGTCCGGGAATCGACGAATTATTTAAAACACTAAACGTTCTGTTCCCTATTTACATACAATCACCACTTAAATTTCGTCATTGTGAAAAGTATAATTTACCGCATAAAAGCAGCGTATTTTCTTCCACACAATGCAGTTCAATGTTGTTAATTAGGAGCTGAAGACTGCCATATGTGATAAAAGCTTATGACCCATTCACTTATCTTTAAAGACGAAATATTCCAACAAAATCGATGCGAATGCAATGGAAAATCGGGTGACGTGTCGATTCTGAAGCCTCGCCGAGTTGTGAAAGTTGGTTCGACCCATGTAAAACTATCGATTTATATCGATTCTGTGCGAAGCAGGCTGCTTTTCCTACAATCGACTGTTTATGATAGATTTAAATCCAGGGAAAACAATGCTGCCAACTTGTGAGGATCGAAGGATTGCCACCGTTCGCAGAAAGGAGGACTAAATGGCAATGCAGCAGACGTTTCTTCCCCTTGAACTACGAACTTCAAAGCGCCATAACTTTTGGGCTGCGTTGACATTTTCGGGCATTTTTTGCCCTAAGAGGTACGTGGGGCACTTCTCTAAGTTCTAGTCTCAGTAATTAAATTTTCAGCGTTCGTCCAGCAAGATCCTATTTACCTTGCACGTTTACCTACATTTCAAGTTTTAATCTGCCATTTTCCGGGTTCAGAATTTCCAGTTCATCAATCATTTTGAAACCGCGGGTGGCACAAAAGTGAACTACAACTCCCATAACTTGTTCTTTAGTATACCAACCGAAACTCAAAAACAGGACTTTTTATTTAATTCGACACACGGAGAAACAAACTGCTGCCATGTGGGGACCAAACTTCGGCTTATTTCTGAACATCTGAGTTTTCTGTCTTAGAAACCGAACTTTGGTTTCCATGACCGGAATCTTCGGTTGGGAATCCAAGTCGTAGAGTACCTGACAAAAACTTCTATTTAGAGTGTCTGCTAAACTTTAATTTTGACTTTTCTGATTTTTCGGCAATTTTAAATGAAAATTCCTGACTTTTTGCGCAGATAAATTACCACTCATTTGATTAGGCAGACCAGCATATTTAATAATTTGAATAAAATTCTTGAAAAATGCTTGTCGCACACAGAATTTTCTGATCCAAGACCGATTCTCCTTACATTTTCCTGACGACATTGAATATCCCGATATTATCTGGTTTTTGCGGACGATAGACACCCTGTAAGTTATAGTTGATCTGTAGTTCCGGTTCTCATGATGAAGAACTTCGGTTATCTGGACTAAAAACTTTACTATTGTAAAAACAGAAAAAAAGTAGAAAGAATCGAAGTTTTTTTTCCCCTCCAAGTGAACTGAAGTCACTTTTTCTACAAAAACTGCTTGCGGTGGACGCACGGGTCGTAAGACAGTTAGTTGGAATTTTTTGCCAAACAGCACCAAACAGCGTATCTTTTTGAGGGAAAATTGTGCTCATATGAGCTCCCTCTGTATTGAGATTTTCAACTTTACACTGAAAAAAAATTCTCGGCGTTTTTACCAAGGTCCGTTGATACCTTTACCATCTCACTTTTTTTTTTACTAATTATTGGTAATTTTACCAAGACAGACTGGTAAGCTTACCTAAAAATTGGTATTTTCACTGTTTTTTCAGATAAGAATACCACTTTTATTGGTAATCAATCCCGGGAACTTTGCCATTTTTTCTCGGTAATTCTACCACAGTCGATAAAAAATATTGGCGTTTTTACCAAGGTCCAGTAAAATTACCGAGAAAGTTCAATAATTTTACCGAGATTCCTCGGTAAAATTACCAATTCCACGAATGGTAATTTTACCAAGAAAAAACTGGGATCAAATAGAACCCTGAATTCTTGGTAATGTTACCCTTTTCTTAGTAAATACACCGAGATTTTTTTTCAAGGTATGCTGATTTTTAACGTGCGTTGGCTAAAAAAATCCAATTTACTGTCACTTTTTCTATACGATAGCAAAAGACAATCAATTGAAATTTAGGGATAGTATAAGTGGATAACTAAGGTAAAATTTGAAGATGGTACTTTCGAACAGACCTTGGAGGCTGCGAAAGCAGAATTTCGGTTGGAGCTGGAGCGAGGGCACCGACGAGTTGTCCGTCGCTACCGGAGTCGCCATGCTTCCTCCTGGATCGCCAAACCCCGCTTCACACCTTCACACTGAAACAAACACCAATTTTTAACCGTGATTTTAATCATAATTATAATAAAAACAACCATGAAATCAATTTTTAACCATTCAGTTACTATATCGTCACCTTCCAGGCAAAGTATCACAAGCGCCATGCGACGTTTAAAAATTTCCGCCGCCATTTTATTTTTTTACTGAGAAATTGTTGGTTGAATCTGTTCGAAAATTTCACTAAATTTTATCGGCAGCACAAAGAAAATTCGGTGTAATTTTCGGACAGCTTCGTTGAACAATTTCTCTGTAAAAAAATATAATGGCGGCGGAAATTTTTAAACGTCGCTGGCGCTTGTGATACTTTGCCTGGAAGGTGACGATATTACTATTTAAATTAAATTTACAGAAATAGGAAGAAGGTAAAACTAGATATTTTTTATGAGGAGACCAACTATCATTTTGATTTTCAGTTACCTCATTTTTAACACTCCAAGTTTTTTTTCCAGAGATACTTACACTGTAAAACTCAAAAAATCAGTCCATTCCAAGGCGGATTTTGAAACCAAGCGTTTAAACACGGATTAAGACAGGGGTACGAATCCAAAAGAGACACCGGACTCGAGCAAGGCACATCACCCGGCGAGCGATTCTCGCCAAAAACTCATGCGAACGGACGCTCGTCCGTGACGTCGTGACGTGAATCCACGTGTACGTTACGCAACACTTCCAACACCGAAATTCGCGAGAGCCGCAACGATTCACGCTGGAGGGGAACGGTTTTTCACGTTGACCCACGCGACGTGACGGTTGGAAATCTATGAGATTTCGAGAATCGATGTTGAACGTGTTCGCGTTGAGCAACGCCGCACGGTGGGTTCAGTTCGAATATGCAATTTTTTACCCAAAATGCAAATTTTGATGTTCACGTTGTCACATTATAAATTGAAGGGCTTGGGGGACAAAGCGCATAAGTGCAGTTTTGGAAAAAATTGAGGTATGAATGATTTCAAGTAAAACTAGTTTTAATACATATTCTGTGAAAAATTCGCACCTAAATTCTCATTTTTAAGCATCAAAAGGTCAGTTTGAACTTTCTTTCCGCCATAAGGATTCGTGTAATTTCGAAACTTCAAACATGTTTTTCTCAATATAGCCAAAACTGCACTTATGCGCCTTGTCCTCGAAGCCCCTCAATTGGTTCGCGTTTAGCAGAAAGGAACCAAGAGCCACATTAGCTGTTGCCATATTCGACCGGGCAATTCAATATTTTACAAGAGAACGTTTGTGCGGATTCCTTTGAAAATGTTATGGAATTTGCTTCGTGCTATGCAGATAATTCACTGAAATTCGCACAAAAATCCGCATTACCGGTTTCATGTAAAAAATTTAATTGTCCAAATGAATTTGGCAATAGTTGATGTGGCTTGGTTCTTTTCTGCTTAACGCGGTCCAACTATAATGGGTATTTCTTGAGGGAATCAAGGAGACCGATGGAAACACTTTGAAACTTCCAGAGCTCATATTTTGGCTTTATGTTTGGTTGTAACAAAGACAGAAGCTTTTACATTTTCATCACGATGTCCGACTTCTTTATTTTACTCGCTCTACTGTGCGCCGTGCTGCGAAATTCGACGGGGTAGGGTTCGGTTCGAGGGAGTCGGATTCGGTGTAGACAAATTACTTAACTGTTGGGATGTACATTGCTTTATCGTCAATGGCTATACACTGAAAAAAATTATCGGCGTTTTTACGAAGGTCCGTTGGTACCTTTACCATCTCACTTTTTTTTTTTACCAATTATTGGTAATTTTACCAAGACAGACTGGTCAGCTTACCTAAAAACCGGTATTTTTACTGTTTTTTTTTTCAGTTAAGAATACCACTTTTATTGGTAATCAATTCCCGGTAACTTTGCCATTTTATCTCGGTAATTCTACCACAGTCGATAAAAAATATTGGCGTTTTTACCAAGGTCCAGTAAAATTACCGAGAAAGTTCAATAATTTTACCGAGAATCTCGGTAAAATTACTGATTCCATAAATGGTAATTTTACCAAGAAAAAACTGGTATCAAATACAACCCTGAATTCTTGGTAATTTTACCCTTTCCTTAGTGAATACACCGAGATTTTTTTTTCAGTGTACGCCATTTGATTGAATAATACATCTTTGCTATTTACGGAATTAGGAGAGGGGGGCAGGCATGAAGGCAGAGGGACTTGAGGGGATTTAGCCCCTACTAAAACAAAAAAAGAGTAGAAAAGAGAAGTATAGATAGTAGGAAACGAGGAAGAAGTAGGAAGAGAAACGATCCAACCAATTCCTGGCTGAGTGTCTGAAAGTAGGGAAGGCTAGCCTACCAGAAATCTACCCGACCCCTTTCAGAAAATGAAGGGAGTTTTGCGAAAAAAATTCGTGGCACTTCTGTTATCTTCAAAATTGTATTTCAGCCAAATTTTGCTACAAACTCAAAAATGCTTCCGGGACACCTCAATTTACAAAGTTTTTCCGCAAGTCCCCCAGCCTAACTTTCCCTCTCTAGTATTTGCCACGGCAGAAAATATTTAGCTCCGCCCATACTCGCTGCTCGATGTTTCTGAAGTAAACAGAAACGTAATAAGGATGAAACTACCTAACTACGTGTCACGGTTTGCGACGTTGCGGAGTTCCTTTCGCATATTTCCAGTACTCCCATTTCCCGAAACTAGGACCGAATTTTGGAACTTTTGAGATTTTCTTGAATTTTTCCCGGAACTTTTGAAATTCCCGAAATGTTCCGGATCTTTTGCTTTTTCCGGAACTTTCTCGTAATTTTTGAGAAAATTCGAAAAGAATCCCGTAACTTTGGACGGTCATGGAGTGAGAGAAATTGGAACAAAAGAGTCCCAAATCCCAGAACTTTTGACGGACATGGAATGGGAGCACTGCATTTTACTCATCAGATGGGAAATTTAAAAACAGGAAAAATCCTGACTTCTCAAGAATTTGTCACCCCGCTTATCAAACGGTCAAGCTTAAGCGACGCCGGAAAAACTGGAGGCGCTGCGCTGCGCTGGAGTTTCCGGCGGTGCGACGGACCCGGAACCGCAAGGCGCCACGACGCCTCTTGGGCGCGAGCCAACGTATGACGTCACGACGCGCGAACGGCGGGAAAACGGAAAGCCACGGTTCCACGGACGGCCCGTGACGCGAGCTGGTCGCGCGATTATCGGGTGCGATGATTTAGTCCGGATATTCCGTTTTGGCGCAAAGCATTTTAGATGCGATTGATACTTCTAAAATTTTGACGTTTAGGTGATTATTTTAAAAAAAACGAAATTTCAGTCCAGGGTTAAATCATTGAAGAAAGTTTGTGCGAAAAATTATCTTCCAAAGTCTTAAAACAAAGTCAAAAGTACTACGACCCATCAATATCGATATCGATGGGTCGCAGGCAATTAGTTGAATCAGGCATTTTATCAAATGCCTAGGCAAATAGTCAAATTTGGACAGTTTACGAAATTTTGTAGGTTTACGGGGAAGAGCTCAGTTTTTAATATTTCGGGGGAAAATAACTTATCAAGCCTACATAATCATCTTGTTACTTCCTCTTCAAATACTTCTCATGTATTGAAATGTTAAAATAATAAAAATTCTGTATTTTATGATATGCTGAAAATGTGAAGATAAATAATCGTTCAGGAGCTAAAAATCGTTTAAATTACTATTCTATGATGCTTTTTACAGAGAATTCTATCTTAAAGGAGCAATGAATTATTTTGTCCAAAATTAAGAGAGGAATCAAAAATTATAATCTAAGAAAGAATGCTTGAATATTTGCCTGGGAAATTGACAAAATGCCTAATTTCACTATTTGCCTGCGACATATCTCGATTCTACCCAGAATGAATTGCGCAAAAGCTGAATATCCACCTTAAACCGGCTTGTTAGTGATAAGATGAATGGCGCCAATTGACTATGGCAACGGAAGATTCAAAATCATAGCACCCTGCAGAGGCGGATCCGGCAATTTGGCAACACTGGCAATCCTCCATTTAAACGGATGGAAATATATTGATTCTTGTCGGAGTACCGGACCCCTCCAAGAATCGATATATTTCCGTAGGTTTAAATGGAGGAAAACAGTGTTGTCACATTGCTGGATCCGCCAATATGGCACCCCGTCTCAGAGCCGCAATTGGACTGCATTTTGCAATTTGGAACTATAAATGCTGGCCCATCTGAAAAAAACACTTGTGTGCATAGGGAAACTGATGGCACATACGTTGTTTTTAAACCGGGCTCAAATTTATAGTTCCAAATTGCAAAATGCGGTCCCATTGACTTCGCGCGTCCAACTTCGCGTCGCGCACTGCCTATGAAACCGTGGCTGAACGGGGGACAACCGCGGATAATCGGACCCTAGAGTCCCTTTATACTGAGAGTCAAGACAATTTGAATCCATTTCTGATTGGTTCCCGTATTTTAGGCCTCCACAGTGTCACAAACGGGAATAAAGATTACATTTTCACCAATTGCAAAGATTATAATCTGGAATGGACCAGGGAATTACGGGTTCGGCAAGGAACAAACGGAATGAGAGGAGGAACGGAGAAAGGCATTTGAGAATGGGCCGATCAAAGATTACGAAAAACGTTCAATTTCTGTAATCTTTATTCCCGTTTGTGACATCCATGAGCCGAATTGTCTTGACTCTCAGTATAAAGAGACTCTATCTCAGAACCGCGAATGATTTTGCGCGACCAACTTTGCGTCGCGCACTGCCTATGAAACCGTGGCTGAACGGGGGACAACCGCGGATAATCGGACCCCAGACGGAAAATCCTCGGAGGGCGATAAATTATGCAGAATCCAATAGATGCACTCCCGTGACAAATCGTCGTCTGCCGCGCTTCTTGACGACCGGACAAGAACGTTGACGTGTTTGTTTTGACGGCGCCGCGGAAAGAAGAGGTCAGCGCTGCGTGCTAAGGAAAAACGTCGTATGAACCCTCAGGCGTTGCCAAATTTCCTTCGGTAAATCACGAATTCTCGG